GGACAGGAGGCGGAGAGAGAGAGAGAGAAACAACAAGTGAGAGAGAGAGAGAAGGGAAGGGAAGGGAAGGGAAGGGAAGGGAACTGAAGAAGAGAAGAGAACTTGAACAGAAGAGAAGAGAAGAGAAGAAAAAGGAGAGAGAGAGAAAGAGCGAGAGGCAAAGAGAGAGACAGAGAGAGAGAGAGAGACAGAGAGAGAGAGAGAGAGAGGCAGAGAGAAGAGAGAAGACAGAAGAGAGAACAGAAAAGGAGAGTAGAGTAGAGGAGGAAAGAAAAATGAGAGGGAGAGACACAGAGGAGAGGAGAAGAGAAGGGAAGGGCAGAGAAAGAAGAGGAGAGGGAGAGAGAGAGAGAGAGTGTGAGTGAGAAACAGAAGAGAAAGCGAAAGAGAGTATGAAGGAGAAACATGTAAAACAACGATAAAGATAAAGAGAACAGAGAAAGAGAGAAAGAGCGAGAGAGCGAGAGAGAGAGAGGAAGAGAGAGAGAGAGAGAGACAAGAGAGCTGAGAGAAGAGAGGAGAAAATAGCGGAGATGAAATCCTAAATAGGCCAGCTGTATCACTGTATCGTTGCATTTTCTCAGGTGCACGTTGATGAGAAAAGCCCGCAAATGTACAATGAGCTTCTGCATTGGGTGGACGCAAACAATTTGGACCATGCAGTGCAGATATTCTCACAGCAGCTGGTCCAACATGGTCGTGAACTGTCGTCACTCACTGTTGGAGCGTTTTTCTTGGCACGTGTTTAGCGCCAAGGTTCAACATTGTGCGTGGCGGCCCAAACATGCTGAAGGCGGAAATAGAAGGTGGGCAGCAGTTTGGGTTGCAAGCTATTTTTGGTGGATTTGCAGGTATTCGCCTCTTACTCAACCACGTAATTCACTGGGACTTTTGCGTGCTACTCAGTGAGCAAGATGCTCCGCCGGATTCAGCAAAGTTGGGTGTGGTATGGCAGGGACGCAACGGCGCGTCGAGCCAACCGCGCGCGTGCATGCGCCCCTGTTTATCAAGACGAGCTGAGGATTATCCCATGAGAGCAAATTCTGCTTTTGCTGAGTATCTTTGGATGCATCGTGGCACAAGTTTTGTGTCTGTGGACGAGGACGGCATACTTGTCTTTGTCTGTGCTGTGACGCCATGGGTAAGCCATGCAACTTGTGCTGTACAGGGGGAATGCGAACGCGATGTGTCTTATCAGTGCGGGGATCGAGTTGTGTCTCTGCTTCCCGGCGCTAAGAGACAGCCATGTTCCTTGCGAGCTCTTTGTTTTGCCGTGCACGTGCCTTGCAGTACAGCACCTTCTTCAGGTCAGGAGGCGTGCAGTTTCCAAAGATCCCGGGCCTCAGAAGCTTGGCGTCCCTCAGACCCTTGCTCGCTCTGCTTGGATTTGGCCAAGCTGTGGGCGTTCCAACATGAGTGAAAGAGATTTGCAAAATGAGGATATGCCAGTGGCTCACAATGGTTTGCTATAAGTCGCGAGCTTGCGTCGTTGGTTGGATTTAATTCAACCAATCCGACGTGCATGGTCGGCACAATTTTCTATGACCTCACAGCTGTGAAGCAGCCTGATGAGAGCTTCTTCCAGGTGGGCCAGTTTGGGGAATGGGCGGCCTGAATCTACAAGATGCTAATTTGGAGTTTCGTGCCAAACAGGTCACTGTGCTAAACAGCGAGTTCTGCACCCGCTATTCGGACTACACACTGCACTGGACCGACAAGGACAGCATGCGACAAGTAAGAAGCCTGACAAGCGAGTACAACATCCTGTCGCCCGGCGTGCTGAGCTTTCCCAAGGCCCCTCGGAAGTGCGTATTCCGACAGTGATTGCTAGCTTGATTCCTTCGTGCCTGCGCCTAGGATGCTGCTAAAGTTCAAGAAGTTCGTGAGCAATCATTGCAGCCGCCCAACGCCAAAGAGGAGCAATGAGAATGTTGCCTCGCCACCTCAGGTGGGCCTTTTTTGCGAGGAAGTTTGACGACAGCAAAGAGAGCTCGCAGTTGAAGGCAGCCTGCGTGCAAGAATGTAGGTTCAGCTGCGAAACGGGGCACCCAAACTGGAGCAGACTTTGCTGCAAATGTGAGGATTACTTGGATTCCCAATCTGGCCGCAATGCTCGCAAGACATGGACAAGCGAAGCTTGTTGGCAAAGCATGGTACTGAACCTGAACGCAGTGACTCGCACGTGAGAAAAAGCTTCTGCGACTTGCGATTGTCAGGTAAGAATTCCTGCAGCTGGCCGAGACTTGGTGCAACAGGCTGCGGTCGCAAGCTGCGCCAGCTACGGTGTATGATAGACTGGCCAGACAACATCATAAGTTCTTGAAGTCCAGTTTTGGCAATTCGCTGAATTTGCCTTTGACAAGGAAGCCTTACGACAGCAATAAGGTTGGCCTGCCTTCCTTCCTTTTGCGTGCTGCAAAGGTGCACAAATTGCACTGAGCCCTTGTTGGATTAGTTTGCTTGGACACAAACAGAATCCTCGCGGTACCTTAGCCAAGCCCGATTCTTTCTGGAGCCTTTGGCAAGTTTTATTGCTGCTGCTCAATGACACAGTGCTTCTTGTTCAATCATGTTCAATCTTTGTGAGTTGTGCTGTGCGTGTGAATTAGGGGGCTCTTGTCAAGCAGTGTTGCCTTCGCGTTTGCGTTGTTTGCAGCGGCTCCTAATATTGCAGATGGTATGTTTTTATGTTTTCCTTCTAAGACTGGTTTTTTGCCTAGATAGCTTTGCTGTAGCTATGGGGGTTCCGGGCTTTCTTGAGAGAAATGGGGCTAGGGTGCTGGGGGTGATTGTTTGGCGCTGCAGTCAGGGTGCTGGTCAGCGGGTTGCTGGCTGGTGGTGACTGGGTGAGTGGTGCTTGTTAGGGTGCTGGGTTTGTTGGCTTTCCCTATTCCACGCCCACCCTAAACGGCCACCAAACACAAGCCCAAACCAACCTTAAACGCAAAATGCACCTGAAACCAACCCGGCCTAAACCAACCTGGCCCCCTAAGCCAACCCCGCACAAACCTATCCCAACGCCGAGTATCAACCGAACCGCGTTGCACTCCTCGGCGCTCTGCGCAAAAGCGTCAAGATGGAGAAGGACTAGTCAAGCCAACCACAAGCCCTACAAAAGGCTTTGCTGGCGGACGCAGTGAGCAGGTGGCTTTAGATCAAGTCAAAAAGGATCAACCTTGAGTGAAATTTAGTTGCAGCACGGAGCCACACCCTCAATTGAGTTCTGGGTGTGTTGTTTGTCGTTTGACAAATCAATCATCATCATAATCTTCAACGTGCTGTGGGTTGGGGCTGTGGCTTGGCTGGGAAGGGCCGGCGATCTAACCTCAAGAGCACCCAAGCGGATCTTGACCAAGCTGTTGTTGGCATCAGGGTTGCTTGGCTAGAGCTTGTTGGTCTTACAAGCGCGCAGGCCGCTGGAATTCGACTGAGGACTGATGCACGTTTTGGCCAGCTCTTTGCTGCAGCCCACATCTCTTGAGCGTCTACGCCGAGCCATGGCTGGATAGCGCGTGATCATTTGGCTTGAAAAGTTGTGCTTGCATATGCCTTCTAGGAAACGTCGACGCTCTCTTTCACGTGCAAATGCTGCGTGCAAATCTGGGTTTTGAAGCTTGGCGAGCGTTCAGCTTGCGCATAGCAGTGACTTGATGTCGGGGTTGGCAACTTGAAAAGAGAGATTTTGACTAAAGTACGTGCGTGCTTGCCCTTGCTGTTGCAGTGCCGTTCTCTGCTTTGCGTCCAACCTCTGTCTAATTTGTTTCTTCTGAAAGCTTTTGCGGTTTTTGCCCCAGATAGGCTGCGGGGTGGTCCACGGCTCTGAGCGGTGAGCGGAGCGGTTCCGAGGAGGGTTTCGGGGCGGTTCCCCGAAGAGTTTCGGGTACACGGAGTGGTTTCCGACAAGTTTCGGGGATGCAAGGGGTGGCTCCGTGAAGGGTTCTGTTGAAGCGTGGAGCTTGCGTATGTCAGCGCAAGTGTTTCGGCTGTGAGGTAGGCTCCCATTTTCGGGATGCTGCGTGGGGCCGTTCTGAGGAGGGGGGTGGCGCAGTTGTAGGGTTCCAGGGATCCGAGCATGGTTCCGGGGACAGCGGTTTGGAGGAGGCGCGGCTCCGAGCGAGGGTGTTGCGGGGGTGGGGGTGGGCATGCGAGGGTTGGGGAGGGTTGCGGCTCCGACCGGATTCCGGTTTGCTGCGCAAACCGGTTTCCAGTCGCAGGGCCCCGGTTGCTCCCGCAACCACCAGGGATAGCGAAGCCTCCAGAAAGGTCACATAAGGAATCTGATTTCAGGGATGCTTCGGAAAACCTGCTGCCTTGGAGCTTGTGCAAATGTATTGTACTTCTGCGCCAGACGCCGAAGACACATTCTGAAGACCAGGGATCAGGTCTTGGGGTGCAAGAGGGCCGAAGCCACAAAGACAGCTTCCCCGCAAAGACATCTCTTGAAGATGAATTCCCTCAAGACAAGTCTCCCGAAAACAAGTTCCCCGAAGACGTATCGTGAAGATGACTTTCCAATGACAATTTCCCGAAGTCACCCCAGAGTCCCTCCAAATACACACTCCAGAGACGAACCTTTCCGAGGACGAATTCTAGCCAACCAAATTGAGGATGTTGAAGTGGACATTTGTTCGGCTTTTGTGAACACCTTGACTTGGGAGCGGCGAGGGCGAATTCCCTTCCCCCCCCACAGGCTTACGGCTAGGTTAGATCTTTGCACTCGCGATGCTGCGCGGATAGGCTAATCCAGAAGCTTAAGATCGGCTAGCGTTCAACCTTACTTTTCAGTTCTTTTAGTTTGGTTTGTTCCGCAACATTCCTAGCATGCATCCTTTTCTTGTGTCACGTGCCAGACTTTGGCAATCCTTCATTTCTTGAGACCTCAGGCGAGGGGTCCGATCGGTTTACGCTTGGTTGCCTGTGTGGAGCTCTGAGGAGCGATACATTTATTTCCGGGAGAAGTTGTCCATGCCCACAATCGCAAGTTCGCTGCTGTCCTTGAGGGTGGGATGCAGCTGGTGCCTCCTGCTCAGTTTCACTTGTGCACAGAAGAGAGGCTTGCAACACGAACATAACAACTGGCAGCACTTTGCAGGAACAAGACGGAGCTGGTCTTTGATGGCGACGTTTCGGCTGTAAGTGCTTCAAGTTCAGGACCACACGGTTCCTCGACCAGGATTGGCACAAGGGCAAGGTAGGCACCATTGGCAGAAGTGGCAAGCCAGGCCAGGCAGGTCAGTCTTGTCGCTGAGACGGAGGCTGTCCCAGCTTGTGGGCAGTGGCTCATTGGCGAATGTCTAAGAAGCCCGTGTCGGAGGACTTCCTTCGTTGTATGTTCTTGAATTAGTTTCGACCATGGCCAGGAGCTGCTTTTAGTATGGACTGATCCTGGAGGAACTCCTATGCAGAAGCTTGCCTGCACCTAGGGTGCAGCTAGTTCAGTTCGTTTGAGTCTGAGATGTCTGAGGCAGGCTCCCATCTCAATTTCTGAGCATTCAGTGCTGCTGTGGCATCGTTACACAGCCACACAGTCGCTGACGCATGGGAGATGGTCATTGGAGGCCGGCCTGAAGTCCTGTAGCAAAATAAAGCAGAGTCGGGTTCCGTGGTTGCTGATGCAGCTTTTCAGGTTAGATCCTCCAATCAAGTAATTGCACGGCGACATTTCTTTGCCTATGGCAATCCATTGCAGATTCCGTGGCAAGATGCTCCTTGCCTGCAGTTTCTTCCGCACCAGTCCATGTTTGTCATCTGCTGTTCTTTGGTCTGCTTGCTCTTGCCTTGTCACTTGCCACAGGTGCAGGAGTACTTTGACATTGTGCCGGGATGATATGCTGGTCAGAAGGCGGACCATTGCGGAAATCATCGGGATTGACGTCATCAGCGAACTCCTGCACTGCAAAGACCCCATCCTGAATGTGACGACCCAGCCCAGTGAACGCGGAGAGGCTCTGACCTAGGTGCATCACAGGCAGGCGGAAACCGGCCAGGCTTGACAAGACCCACGAAGCAGCTATTTGTCGTGCTGGTGCTTCACTCAAAGATGCCGACTCAATGATAGCGCGGCGGCTGAGGGTGAAAAAGCAAAGCTCACGATTGCAAAATGGCAGAGCTGATAGCAATACCTGTGAAGGGCTTGCAGCCGGGTAATCCATGGGTGACCTGCAGGTTGCTCTCCTCAATCAGCAATATCTTCTTCTCCGCGGTGATATGTATTTGACTTGGCACTTGGCAGCTGGCACCTGCTGCATGCGCAGGAAGACCATGTAGCAGCATGTAGGATCTCTGAGTGTCACACTCAGGTTGTACCTCAAGCATGAGATGGACGTTTGCAAGAACTGGGTGCCACATCTCAGTTCACATGTTGTGAGCCTTTCGCAGCGTCAATATCAAAATAATAAGCTCGGCTGAAAGCAGTTCAAGGGTCAGAGCAGTGGGATTTTGAGGTGCAGCAGTCTGTGCGGTCTGCCTTGCAGAGCCAGCCTGGAACTTGGCATGAACTGGAGCACCAATGCTTTGTATTTAATGTTGCGCATGCAAGCCAACCTCCATTTCCAATTGAGGTTCTGAACGCATCCTATTGTCACCAACCATTGGGCTTCAGATGCGAGCATCAAAAGCAGTACCACGTGTAACAGTGCTCGAAAGCACGGAGGCAGGTGGCCGCGAGGTAAATGATGCCCCCGAATTGCCGTTGCATGTTACATGACAGGGCCGCACGAGCCCCGAGATGTGGGATTCAAAAGCCCCGTGACACTGGTTTTGCTCTTTGGCTCCCTTTGGCTTCGGTGTGGGCAATTGCAGGTCACAAACTGATTGTCAAACCGCAGGCTGGCATGTGCAAGATGCATTGCCTTGCCCTGTCTTAATGCCCGGCTTTCTTTCCATGCCTTGATGCTCGAAACAATGGCCTGATGGCGTGTCACCTCCAGTGGGCCTTGGCTCAAGTCAACATGCCGACACCCTACTCTGTAGGAGCTGCCTTGCCTCCGCAGCATTGAGCTTAGTCATGAGAGGTGGGGAGCATTGGCTTTAGTGCACACCTAGCTTGGCCCTGAGGACAGCGCCGACTCGGATGAACCCGTTTCTTCAGGTGCTCCATTGAAGTCTCATGTGTCGTGGATCAAAGTCGTTCATATTTGCTTAGGCTGTCCTAGGGACGGGAGCGCGTGCGCCACTTAGATTGGGGCAGTTGGGCGGGAAGTGGTTCGCAGAGCGTAGCTCCGGCTTGAGGTCGTTTACGTGAGCTCCTGTGCAGGCCCTGATTGGACAACGACGTGCTCAGTCACAGAAGCTGATGCACAGATGCTGAAGATGCAGGAGTCTTCTTTCCTGGGCGTCGACGGGGCGACCTCTTTGAAAGCTGAGATCACAGGCAAGACGTGGTTGACGTGGTTGACGTGGCTGACGTGGCTGCATGGCGGTCCTGCTTCAGGCAAGATCCCTGAGCTCAATTCAGCGGCACACTACCGATCTGCGCGAAAACTGGTGCAGGAGAGCATTGGACAGCAAGCTCTGAGTGCAAGTCTGAAATTTCTGAAGGATTTGGGTGGTGCCCCAGCACTGAAAGAAGAGCTGATCTACTCTGGCTACGTTGATAGCGTGCTTCTTACAAGCCAGTTGTTGCTGCATTGCGCTCTGCAACCTGAAAGCAAGGTGACACGTCGAAGCTGACATTGCTGGATAGGCCCATGAACATTTTTGCGCTGCTTGCCAGCGGTACCATGCGCCTCGTCCGGAACTTGCAGCCACGCCATAATATGAACAATTGTTGTGTGTGCACCGAAGTGTGGCAGCCCATGCCTGTTGGCACGGCGTTTTGAGGAAGCAGCCTGACTCCGAGCCAGAGCAGGAGATTGATTTTTGCATGTGGAGGGAGGCTTCTCGAAAACATAGGGTCCAAGCTGAATGTTGCACACTGTCAATTGGTTCTGTCTGCCTCATTGCCTCTGCCTGAGCTCTTTCCAATCATCCATGTCGGGTGTCTCGCGCTAGGATCTTCTTGGCACCTTCAAATCTAAATTTATGATTTGCAAGAACAAGCTGGAGAACGAAACTGTGCTGCATAGAATTGCATAGAGCTTGTTCAATTTGCATATGTACCAGTGTGCAGCCTGCATGCCGAGGACATCAATTGGGACAACCCTGATATGAAGTGGGTCAAGACCTCTTCCATGGCTCGGCAGCACAGATTCTTGACCACAAGGGATCTCCACTACCAGTGGTTCAATCCCCTCATGTTTGGCTTGGTTCCTGCCGATGATGGCGGAGTGAATGCGCGAGCAGCGCTTGCAGAAGTTGAGCAGATGAAAGCTGCAGCACTTCACTTTGCCAAGAACAATGGGTGGTCAGACAAGGTCGGGCTCTTTGTAAATGTCTTTGGCCACAACAATGTGAACTCTCTCTTCATCCACGTGCTGGACATGTCGGAGCTCGGGCCTGCATTCAGCTACCACGACTTCAAGAACATGCCCTTGGACGATGTTATCAAGGTGTTGCGAGAGGAGGCCGCAAGCAACTTCCTCCCAGCTCCGGTCAAAACCACGGATCTTCCAGGGTTGCTGGAGAAGGCTGGTGCGCGACGCCGCAGAGATACAACGAACGATGCCCGGGGCACGGGGAACTTTTTCTTTGCGGGAACTGATGGTGCAACATCTGTGAAGGCAGAGGTTGTGGGGCGCCTTCCCATCATCAAAGATGCAGCTAGCTTCCGTGCAGCTCGGAGGATGCTCACCGAAGAGCTTGGAGGCATGGCTACGCTCAAGGAGGAGTTGGCCAGGTCTGGATTTATTGACCCCGTGACAGGCAACTTGACGACAGGAACCCGTCCATTCAATGTGTTTGCTCGCATTGGAGGGGGCGTGATGACACAGCCGGGCATGGACAAAGAACAGGAGTACCTGCAAGAGTTCAAAGATCATTTCATTGTTTGCAGCAATCTGCCGGCCAACGACGAGCACTGGGACTCTGATGACAAAGAGTGGGTGGGCAAAGCTTCCATGTCCAAGCGTCACAGGTTTTTGACCATCAAGGACTTGCATTGGCAGTGGTTCAACGTGCTCGGCTTTGGGCTACTTCCTGAATCCAAAGGCGGTGCAGGCCTAGGCCGCGCGATCGCCTTGGTGGAAGTCATGAAGGCAGCGGCGCTGCGATACACTGCGATATGCCCAGGATGGACCAACCGAGTGGGCCTATTCTTCCATGTCTTCGGCCATAATTCCGTGAATTCCCTTCACCTCCACATCCTGGATATGGCAGAGTTGGGCCCCACCTTTTGGCACTACGAGTACAAAAACTGCCCACTGGATGTTGTTCTGAAGGTGCTGAAGGAGGAAGCATCCAGCCATTCCACCGGTGCCGAGAGCTACGGTTTGATGGCAGAGGTCACCGCTGCTGCAACAGAGGCTGCAAAAGCCGCAGCTGCAGCAGCTGAAGCCGCTTTGTCTGCCAGCCGCCCAAGCGTCAGATGCTCTGATGGCCTTGAGATTCTTACTCTGAATGTGGGGGGCGAACTCTTCACCGTGAGCCGCCAGATCATGCTTCAGGCTCCTCCTGACAGTTTGTTGCACCAAATGTTCGTAGAAGACACTGTCCGCCTCTCCAACCTGGACGCAAACCAACGCCCATTTCTCAACTACCCAGCCACTGCATTCAGGTACATTGCTGATCATTTGAGGCTGTTGGCACAGCTGCCAAAGACGAATGTGCTGCAACCATTGACAGTCCCCCCTAGCCATGAAAAGCAAGTGCGGGAACTTGCTTGGATCTTGGGGGTGGAGGACATGGTACTTTGCACTCCTCAGTATGGCAGAAACGGAAAGGCAGCTGCATTGCGGCCTCAGTTGGGCCGTTCCTTTTGTTGCATGCGGAGACGTGCTCAGCACGGCGAAATATCCTCTCAGCTTTCCAACTCATCGCAGGTTTGATGCCCGGTTTCACCTGGTCGCTTGAGTCCACTAAGTGGATCAGGCCATTGTTTTTGGAAAGGGGTGCCGTTCTGTATTCTGTTGTCGTACCTTAGGACGACAGAACCTCCACAAGGACCGCAGCTCTGCTGCTGGATCAAAGGTGCAGTTAAAGACTGTGCATTTTGGCTGGAGATCGGAAAAGCCCTGCTAAGTGCAATGCAAGATGTGAGGGACTGACAATGCCCTTCCGTATGTTATATGGCCTGTAAAGAATCACGCAGATCTTGTTGGACAGTCAGGAGAACATGCAAAATGATGAGCTACAATTTCCACAACGCTTATCAAAGATTGCATGCAGTTGTTGCTGCACGTCGATGCATTTTCAGTCATTAAACGACAAAGTTTTTACACAGTCAAGCACAGCAAAAAAAAAAAAAACGGAAACACGTCTCATGCAAAACGAGAAGCTTTCAGGAGTCGGCAGACACTAGGAGAGTGTGCGGTCGGTCTTCGAGCTGGAGCTGCGGAAGTACTACACAGTTGTGGTTTTGAAGCTGGAGCTGCGCTCGTGCTGAAGTGCTGCACCAGTGCTACAAGGTTGCAATTTTCGAGCGGAAGTTCAGTCCGCACGTGGCACTCGTTCTGCAAAGTTGCGGTTTTCTGGCTGGAGATGCGGAAGTGTGCTTCGCGCACTACACTTGCACTACCAGTAGAGCCGGCGAAGCCAGTGGGCGGAAGTTTCAAAATCTAAGAGTTAGAATTGAGTGAGTGCGTGCGTGCGTGCGTGAAAGAGTGAAAGAGCAATGGCCTTGGGATTAGAAGCCAAGCCAAAAGCCGGGCAGCCTCCCCCACAGCATTTGCCCGGTGGGGTTCACGCCCGGGAGCCAGCTCCAAATGGCCCAGTCAAGCAAGAGGTCCCTTCAACTAGGCAAACCCGCCGTCCACGTTTGTTGAGAACATGCCATCCTTGCAGAAACCTTGCGCAACAGGCTCTTCCTCTCTGCGTCGGGCAGCGCACAGCGTGTTGCATAGTGGCAGCCACCCTCTGCGGATACTAAGCGGGAAGCACGGCCCGTCTGCCCTCCGTTGCCACCACCGCTTCTTGCGGAAAAAGGGGGAAGGCAACAGATAAGCCAACGAGTACTGAGCCGGCTCCGTGATGGTGTGCCCTCGGAGTGGTGGGGTGAGGCCCAGAAGCTGCGGGCAACACCTTCCGGAAGGAGCAGGGCGAAGAGTTATATTTATGTTTCCATTTTCTTTCTTCTTTTCCTGTTTCCTTTGCTCTTCTCTTTGTTTCCTTTTCTTTGTCTCTACCTCTTCCTCTTCCGCTTCTTTCTTTCTCTTTCTCTGCCCCTTTCTCCTTGCTTTATCTCTCCCCCAAACCCTGCTGCGCATGCGCCACGGGGTCTGTGCCTGACCTTGTGAAACGGCCGCGCCTTCCACGAAATCTGCACCTGGCCTGCTGAAAGTGCTGTCGTGCCTGACCTTGCCGCCCCCAGCCAGGCGCCGTGCCAGCACTAGCTTTCGAGCATCCGAAGGAACTGAACGCAGAGGGTTGCCTTTTTTGGACATTTCTGCACGCGTGCTGCACACACGTGCGCGTTTGTTCTCGCGCGTAAGACGTACATTCAAGTCATAGGTTTTGCCTTCAGGACGCAGCATGGGCAAGTTGAAGAACTTAATGCAACATTGCAGTCTTGTTTGTTGCCGCCTTTTGCTCAGGGACATTTATGCGGGGAGAGCCATGGCAGCGCAGCCAGCCTTTGCCCAGTCAGGGCCGTTGCCTGCCACCTTGGGATATGTCCGGCAGCCGTGCGTCAGTGGTCGTACAGTTGCTTTTGTGGCTGAGGAGGATCTGTGGCTCACAGACTTGGATGCCTCCATGCCACGTCGCTTGACCCACCTGCGAGGGGCCAGCCACCCCCTCCTGTCACCAACTGCAAACATGCTTGCCTTCGCCTTCGCCTCTGATCTTTGGGTGATGGCTTTGGCGGATGGCCAACGCAGGTGTCATGACGCAACATACCAGTTCAACATTCGCATTTGACAGGTGTAGGCTGTGTTCGCAATTTGTTTTTTTCGGCGAGGCGGCTTACCTGGTTTGGTTGCGGCACCTGGGCAGAAACATAGTCCAGATATGTAGCATGTAGCAGCACAGGATGACAACTGCTGTGCATGCTCCAAGGTGATATTTGGCCGACGGCGTGGATCGGGTCGGAGAACGGCCTGGCTTTTGCCAGCACGTGTGTTTGGGATGCATTTAGCTGGCTGTGAGCTTAGCAGCTATCCGGACCCTGGGCGATCCCAGTGGCCGCGAGCATGCCGCCTTGAAGCCACAGATTCGTAGGTGACTGTTGGGCAGATGGGGGAATGACGATCCAGGCATCGAGCTGCATTGGGACAGACTGAGGCGAAGATCCTTTTGACAGACCGACTGTGTACCAAGTAGATCTTTCAGGCGTGCTGCCCAAAGAGTTGCTTTTGATGTGCTTTGTGGTATCTTGTTCGCACTCCAAAGTTTCTCGGGCGTAAGGGGGGGGGGGAAGCGCTCTTCGCACTGGCATGCTTTTGCCAGTGGGCTTATGCATTCGTGAAGGAGAGCCAGCTGACGCGCAAGCACTACCTTTCTTTGTTATTGCCAAATGGACGGAAAACTCTCTCGTTTCTTTCGCCAAGTGATGATTCGGGTTTGGCCGCACTTCTTGATTGAGAGGGCTTTTTGGTCAGCCAAGACGGCATCACCCTTCGTTCGCTAGTAGCAGGATGCGTTTGCGTTGCAGCCACTCGAAGACTTGTTTTTGCAATAGCACCAGACCAGCCTTCGTGGAACCGCAACGTTTCTCCGGTCTTACTTCGGGCGAAAGCAAAGAAATGAAGTATTTCTCAGTTTCTCCGTTGGGTAGAAACGAAGCTACGTAGGAAACTGCGATCAAGTTGGTCCGTCGCGAAGCAAGTTTTGCATGTGTGTTTTTGCAATGGCATGCTGGCGGAGCCATGGGTTTCCGTGTGAATGCCATTAACATGCAGCCAATGAAGGAAAGCTCAGAAACTGTTTTGCAGCACAAACTCTGGCCACCTACCTACCATGACCTTGCATGCTATTTTGTTGGAATAATTTGCTCACAGGCGGAGAGCCGACCAGGCTGTTCGATGGAGAGCGTTTTGTCTGCACCATTCGCCAGCGTGTGTAATACCTGCTTGACTTCTTTTGTCTGCCTGTGGGGGGTGGGCAAAGGTATGATTCCATCCTTCTCGGCCCAGCTGGTCGGGGGCAATGTTTATGCCGAAAGACTCAGGACACGGCAAGTTCTTTGTGGAAGGCCCTCATGTTTTTTGCTGTTTGCATCTGAGGGAATTCAGTGATGTGCTGAGTTTTCCCCGTTGGTTGATAATGTTGCGAGGGCTACCGCGGCGGAATGCACGGATCTATTTGGCTTGATGCCGATGGAGCAGGGGCGTTCAAGAAAGTGGAGATGAAAGACCCGCTTGGCAGTGATCTTGCAATGAACATCAGCTGCCTTATGTGGCAGCAAAACCGACTGTTCTTCTCTGCTGACCCGGACGGGTCTGGCAATTTGTGGAGCACAAACTTGCAAGGGCAGGACTTGCAGAAGCATACTAATCATGACGTGTTTGATGTACGACATGCTCAGAGTGATCCCGAATCAGTTGTATACACAGTTGGGGGCGAATTGTGGTGCTTCAGCATGCTGACATGGAAGTCTCAGCCGCTTCGAGTGCATCTCGGGCACTTGAGTGCAATGCCCACGACCTTGGAAGCAGCCGAGTGGACGGAGGCAGTGGCGTTGGATCCCAGTGGCCGTTTCGTCTCGTGCCTGTGTCGAGGGAATGTTTATGAAATGGCGTTGTGGGAAGGTCCAGCGGTGCGTCTGCTGAAGCCGATTGAGGATGAGGGAGCTCGGCGTGCAGCCCGCTGCGTGGCTTTCGAGTACCTCTTCAGCGGCCGCCTGCTCACAGTTTCGGATGACCAACTGCCCAGCTGGACGGTCACGATTCATCCAACTCCTTCCGAGTGCGATTTGCCGGTGGAAACAGAAGCCAAGAAGCTCAAGGACCTAATGCGTGAGTTTGCAGAAATCGGAGCACCACCGCAGAAGCTGATTTTAGAAGTTGGTGGCCAGGTTGGGAGCCTGGTAGCTTCTCCCGTCCATGATGCCGTTCTCATGAGTACAAGCAGGAACGAGCTATGGCTGATTGAATTTGTTACTGACAGCGGGGATCGACCATCGCTGGAGCAGCCGCGTGCCAAGACAGAGCAAGGCCTTCGTTTAGAGCCATCCCTTTTGGATAGCAGTGAGTGGGAGGATGGCGTTTCAGACCCTTGCTGGTCGCCGGATGGAAGGTGGATTGCATATTGCAGGAAGGATTTGCAACACGGATCCTCCATCATTATCATGAACATAGAGTCTCGACAGAAGACTGTGGCTGCAGATTCCACTTTCTCCAATGGCTGTCCAAGCTTTGACCCTGACGGATTATATTTGGCCTTTCTCTCGCAGCGGGCCTTTGTGCCAGTGGAAGATGACATCACTGCAGACTTGAGTTTTGCACATGGTGCTGACCTGCCTTTCCTCGTGCTTCTGCAGAAGTATGGTCGGAATCCATTCCTGCGTTTGCCAGTCTCGCCCGCCAAGCTTCAGCCTGATGAGTCTGAGGTTACAGACCAACAGTCTGGAAGCGAGAGCGAGTCCAATGAAGATGTACCCAAAGAGGTGCTGATCGATGTGGATGATATTCAGAGGCGACTTCTTCAATTTCCGGTGAAGCCTGGACGGTATGGGAATTGCACTTGGACATCAGATGGCAGCTTTCTTTATTTGCGGGAAGACTTACAGCTACGGAATCCATACACTGAAGACGAGGATGAAGATCAAGTGCACTCCTTGATGAGCTTTGACTTCAACAAAGGCAAAGAGGAGGAACTTTGGAAGAATGTGGTTGATTTTTCTACCAGCTTGGACATGGAGAACATGGTTGTGTGTGTCCGTGAGGGCGACGAAGACGAGGAGTATTTCGCAGTTCCAGCCGGCAAGGAGATGCCGGGTGAAGAAGATGAGGTGGACTCATCAGCTCCAGGTCCTGAGTCGGGGCTGCTTGACATGACAAGAATAAACTTGCGAGTTATACATCCGGAAGAATGGCTGCAGACATTTGTGGCCATAAAAGAGTTTGTGAAAGAGAACTTGTTTGATGACAACTGTGGCGGTTTAGATTGGGATGCTGTGTGCAAGCACTACCGCAACGTGCTTCCTCGTATTCGCAGCCACGCTGAGCTTACAGACCTTTGCAGAGAAATGCTTGCAGAGCTGGGCCTAAGTCATGTGAGCTTCAGTGCTCGTGAGGAACCTGCTGAAGCTACAGGAGCATGTCTCGGGGTGAAGGCTTCGTGGCAGAACTTTGAAGGTGGCGGGGCGTACCGTGTAGACGAGCTTCTAACAGGGGACTGGTGGGATCCTGCAAGCAGTGGGCCTGCTTCACGGCCAGGCGTTGGCATTACTGTCGGGTCATTGATTCTGGCAGTGAATCGGGTGAAAGTATGCCAGTCAGTGTCCCTCGGCCAAATGCTGGAAGAGAGCAATTCGAGCGAGGTCTTTGTAACATACGTGCCCGTGGAAGATATTGCCTCTTTTGCAAGCATCCAGCAGGCCTTCTCGCGCTATGGCGGCTTAGACGGATTCAGAAAATTGAGCCATCAGGCTGGCACAAGCACAAAGCCCAAAAAGCATGCCAAGAGAAAAGACAAAGCAAGGAGCAAGCAGCCTGGCCGGGGCGAAATCCCTGACGATGAGGTTGAACGCAAGCTTGCTGCGCTGTTCCGCCAGCTGAAGATTGACAATGGGTGCTGTTGGCGCACGGCACGTGTGAGCACAGCAGGAAAAGACAGACGCAAACTTGCCAGCATGCGTGACCTTATTGAAAGGAATGGGCATGCGGTGAATCAGGCGACTGGAGGGCGCATAGGATATATGCACATTCCGGACACGGTTCAGCTAGGCTTTGCAGAGTTTCACCGCTGCTTGGTTGAAAGTTGCCGTGGCTTGCAGCCCGAGGACGGGTTGGGAGGTGTATCCTTGCTCAAGTGCCTGATTTCAGGCTACTTTCGCCGAGAGAGCAGCAAGGACGCACTCATCATAGATTTGCGATGCCTCCTGGCAGCACTGATGGAAGCGCCCCAGGTATAGAACGTGAAACAAGGCTAATTAAAACTATGCCCGTTTGCGCCGCTCACAAATACACCCGTCTCCCCCCTTGCCAACGCATCACTGTCCAGGCAATGGTGGTGGCTTTGCATCAGAACTCTTCCTGAAACATTTGTACCATCCTTGGATTCTTCTAGCTGATGCAGCATGCAGTTTCGTAACTTGCCTGATTGGACACGCACGATCCACAAGCCGCAAGGCAGTGCAGCGTATTGGGATGGACTGTTCCACGCCCTGGCCGACGTCCTACCCGCTGCCCTGAGCTCTGCACGAACGGAAAGTGTGCTTGCTTCTCAGAGCTTTGCTGTGAGCAGACCTCAAACCAGTGGAACCAGGACTGAACACATCAAAGCCAGTGCTGGCTGAACTAGATGTAGGCCGGCAGAAGCACCTGCCCTGGCTTCCGAGGTCATGCTGGTCGATGACAACACCTGCTCCGATGCGGAAGCCTGGGCAGAAGCGTTCAAGCGCTTTGGCTTGGGCAAGGCTGGGGAGCCACTGACCAAAAAGTGCCCTGCAAGAGGAAGATGACCCAATCGTTTTGCGTATTTTGCATTGCGACTGGGCCTCGTAGGTGATCGGTGTGCGAACCTGGGGTGGGGCGCAACCCTCAGATTACGATCGCTGGTTGCAGGACAGCAATTTGATGTAGCTAGCTCATGAGGTCATTTCAGTCGGAGCGGCCGATTTGGAGCTAATTGGTGGCGGCGAGCTGTCTTTGCGGCTTGGCAATACATGGCACTCGCAACATGTCGCGCTTATGGCGCTCCCGGCGCTTTCCCAGCTCCCAACAAATGGCCAGAAGTCGTCGGTTTTCTTTTAGCACGTGTCGACATGGCACATGTGCACTACATGTAAGTTTGAGACGAGAAGGAGCAGAGGTGGCTCAGCTATGAGTTTAGCTTTCAGGAGTGCAGATCGCGGGTTATCCCAGGCCTGATTCGCATTACTACGTGCCTGGGGAGACCTTTGGTCGGCATGGCTTGTGATCAACATTGGCGCTTGGTATGTCATGTTTGGGGAGTAGGCTTTGGAGTGGTTCCCTTCAGCTGGGAAGACAACATGTGTTGCCCAATTGTAGTTTAAGGACAGGATATGCACTCGAAAATTGCGGTGTCATTCCAGCTGCTTGGCCTAAGTTGGACATCCTTCCCAGTGTGTGCATCATACGGGGACGGGAGCCGTCCAGCTTCATGCTCGAGCCTTTCTGCTGAATTCTCAGGATGTCATCGTGGAATGCACGCCTGGTGATCCCAAGGGTGTAGATCCTCAATTGACCGAAGCTATTAAGCATGCTATGGAGCTGTGGCTTGGCAACTGCAGCGAGGGATGTGCCGCGTTTTCCTTAAACGCACACGTGCAAGTAAAACTTACTCCCGCGCAGAGAATGAAGCAGTGCAGATGTCGCAGCCGCCCTGAATCCATTCGAGCTGTTTCGCCACGCCAGACCTGAGGCTGAAGAACACAGGCGTGGTGTTTTATGCATCGAATCGCGGCAGGGCCAGCTTGCCAGTTGAAATCTTTCTTGCAGTTGGAAAATTGGCAGCCATAACTTGGATGGAATGCCAAGTGTGCTTGTGCGCGAGGCGCCCCCAACTTGCCAAGCTTCCCTCGCACGCGCTTACATCGTCAGTTCAGTGCCAAGTGTGGAGCCCAGGGTCGCGGACGTGGCAACTTCGCTGATCCAGATACTGCTTCCGGTGTTGGTTCTGCTGAGAGCGCCCTTACAGTCGACATGTGGAAATGCCACGTTCCAAACAGTTGTGACCAAGGGTGCCAGCTTGCGGTCCGCCCTCTCCCAAGTGTCAAAAGCAAGCAAATAACGTGTGCGAAAGGAAGGGACATGGTGACGACTGAGGTCAAGATGACTGCCCGCGTGAAAGAGCTTGCAGCTTTTGACTTGCAGTGGACATCTTGAGAAAGCGTGGCCCGGGTGATGTAATGGACAAGCTCCACTCGTCACCTTCGCCATGGCTGGCAGAGGGGGGCACGAAGAAAGCTAGCTGGGGAGCCAAACCACGGATCGAAGCGAGCAGACGAGGCGAGAAGCGAGACAGCCGGCATCTGAAAAAGTTTCATATGCGCTGCGATGCACTGGCGGTTCCAAGCAGGCCATGGTTGGGCAATGCGAACGGAAAAGGAAGTGGGCAAGCTGCGCAGACAATGGACAAGAGCTGCAAATCCGTCAAGCCGTGTTGTGGCAGCCTTCAATTGTTGGCGTTCAGGGAACCCAATTCCTTCTGCTTTTGGCTCAGCTTTGCACGTGACGTGGCATGGGGCGCGCATGGTGAGGCAGGCTTGAGACCATGCGTTGCATTTGCAGTGAGAATGCCGCTGCTTCAGTCTGCTTGTCGCAACGCTATGCTAGGCGGAAATACTGGCGACAGACCGGCCTGTGTTGTGCTTGCACTGCACTTAGCCAAATGCTGTAGCTTGGCTTTTGGCCCAAGCAGGATGAGGAGCCTGAGTAAGACCTATGCACCATAGTGGTTGTTGAGCCTGCAGGCTGATCCACAAGACAAGCGGTCACACAGCATACCCGCTAGAATGCTAATCAGTTGCACCCTCCGTCTGGTGCGCCCTCCCTCTGCTGCGCGGCAATGATGCCAGATGCCGCCGGCAAGCCGACGAGATGGAAGCTCTGCAGGCTCGTCCGCTCCGCGGGCTTGTCCGGATCCGCAATGCCCTGCTTTCACATTGCACAGTATCTCGTATCTCGCCCTGCAAGGCTATGTCGGATGACTTCGAGGTCCTGGAGGCTCCTTCAGGCATGGCACAAGCGCACCCGCGTACCAGTCGTTCCGAATCACGATCGGAAAGATGCTGATGGGGGCTTTGCCATGCAGGCAGCCAATCCGGAGCCTCCTTTGGAGTAAGCTGTCCACCCGTTGGGCCTTTGTTGGTGAACTTGCCAGCTCAACAGGAGGCTGGTCAATCGGCTTCTCCATGCGTCAGTTGATTGCTGTTCGAGCTTTCAATGGCAGGCTCTCCAACCTTCACTCCAGAAAGGCAATTGGCAAGAGTGCGCAGCTGTTGAACAAATGCCGTTTCATTTTGGAAGGTTGCGCGGATCACAGGCAGCTGCGGTGGTCCAGGGCTACGAGCTCAGCAACGGAGCCACAATAAAAACTTGGGTTTTTGAAGGTGAGCAGAGGGACAGACCCAGCAAGAAGTAGGTGCGGTCGCTCTTTTGATTCGTACCCAATGCTTTACCAGGTCTTGATTCTCTTTATGTCATTGCTGCAGAATGCTGAGGTTTGGCAGTTGTTGTTGGAGACTCTGCTGGGCAAGAATGTGTCCATGAAGCTTTGTCTGCGGTGCCCAGAGGCACGGCCAGTGCAGTTTGTTTACTCTTTGTTCTTTTGGCTTGATCTTGGAGTCTTGGAGGTGGCTGCGGCTGCTGGAGTAGAGGATTGGGGGTTTATTGTTTAGAGGGGTGGTTCGCAACAACTCGTGGCGCAGGAGCAGCCTGTGCCCCAAGATTGTGCTGCACGGAGCGAGGAGGCCAACACCTCAGGTCAGCCCGTTTGGCAAGACGGTTTAAGTGGCAGAATTAAGAATTGCTCAAGGCTGCAGGCCTGCACAACGACAGAGAGCGAGTCATGAGTGACGGCCAAGCTTCTGGCTGGGCTGCAGAAACTTCTGATGGTACACTTGTCCGCTTGAGCGTGACCACAGGCCCGAAGGCGTGGACGATTTGATGAGTTGAGCAAAGCTGCGTATGGCGCCCAGCTCTTGTCGCAGGTGAAGACATCAAAAGTCACCAACATGTCTGAGCTACGGCGAGTTGACAATGCAAGCAACCTCTGCCGCAAGTACGGCACATTGCAGTGCGATCAAGGTATAGACTTGGCGCCGCTATTGAGTCAAATTT